TAAAACTCTAAATATATATGACTGAGCTTTTGAAATGAAAAGTGACTGTGAAACCTTTTGCTTGCGTTTGCGTGCAGGTGGGAATCTCTCGTCCTGATCCTGATGTATGCGGTCTACATCCTCATCATGAAGTGAGTGTCAGCTTCAGAGAGTTAAACAGCTGGTCGCAGTGATTTACTGAGTCTGTCGTCGTTTGTTACTGCCAGGTTCAACGGCCGGGCCCATCGCTACTTCGACCGTCGAAAGAAGGGCTCGGTGAATCTGGCCAATGGGCTCACAGGAAGCACTGATCTGGAGGATGTCACGTGTGACGCCACTGCAGTCCTGCTTAAAAAAGGTATCAGAGCCGCCTCTGCTTGTCCTCTAAAGTGTCTCAGTGGGCTGCAGTTGTTCATCTCTGCACACTGAAATTTGCATAAATATAAAAGCCGCAGGAGCACTTTCCTTCTATTTTGATTCTGCTCTGTGGTAAGTAGGCAAAGGGTGAGGACAGTACCAAAGGACTACTTGTGCAGACTTTAAGATTTTGTATTCGGTGATTAGGACCCTCTGTTTGAACACCGAGCTTCTTTCCATCCAGGAAACAAACCAGTGTAAAGACGTTTGCAGAGAAGTTTGAATAAACTGGTAAACTGAATTCATTTACCTTCTCCGACCAAATAAGTAACCCAGTAGCCTTCCCGGTGTCTCTTTAAGAGCTTGAGAGTTGCTTTGGATGCTAGGAATGTCAAAGAGTCAGCCGTTTTGTTTGCTGTCTGCAGCTTTCTCTCTGCCCTCAAAAATAAGTTACAGCTTGAGAACAACAGAAGAGAGGACTGCAAGATGCCGGCACAGCCTGCTCTGTCAGCTCGTTTTGCACCTGATACTCTGAATGCTGCCCCAGTGAGAAACAGTCGCCCTCCTCACTTGTTACTGGGCAGTAATTTCCCCCCTTTTCCCACCCAAATGAGCATGATTTTATATCGGCATCATATTCATGTGCAGAACCTGCAGTTTTTCCAGGTTAGGTTGGACCTGATCTGATCTTTGGTTTTGCGTTTACCTCGAGGCTCCTTAAGGATTTTGATGCCGTTCTCGTGGACGTATCTCTGCAGCTTTGCAATGACGTCAGGGACAGCGCCCTTGACAAACTGGTGGTGTTCCCTCTGTTCAAGAAGGGGAATCAGAGGTGGTGTTGCAACAGTAGAGGGATCACACTCCTCAGCTGTAGACATAGACCTGGCATAGACCGTCATTGGCTTATGCCAGGGCACTGGTGAGGGGAGTCGAATCCTGCATTCAGAACAAACAATGCTGTTTTCATCCTGGTGATGGAGTCGACCAGCTCTTTATTCTCTTGGAGATATTTGAGGGTGTGTGGGAGTTTCACCAACCAGCCTGCGTGTGCTTTATGGACTTGGAAAAGGAATTTGACCACCATCCTTCCCAACATTCAGCCCCTGTACAAGAGAGCTTAATCTGCATTAGCAGCAATAAGTCAGGCTTGTTCCTGCCCTTTGTCCAAGATTCTCTTCATAACTTTTAAGACTTTTATGGGTTTGGTGGTCTCAGAATGTCATCTCTACTTTTTTGCCAATGATGTACTTCTGTTGGCTTTATTGAACTATGCCCCCTGGGCCAGTCATTATAAACCATGAGGAAGCATTGATGGAGACCCAGGAGACCATGGAGAGATTATCTCTCTCAGTTTAGGAATGTCTCAGTGTCCCCTAGAGCAGCGGTCACCAACCTTTTTCCCGCCACGGACCGGTTTATGCCCGACAATATTTTCACGGACCGGCCTTTAAGGTGTCGCAGATAAATACAACAAAATAAAACTAGTACCTGTACCGAAGAAAAGAAGATTTATTCATAACACATGTGAAAAGACCCAGGAAAACCGAGTAAACGATAAAAACGATAACAAAATAACGCTGAAAACCGATAAAAACCCTGAAAACTATACATTTCACACCTGAGCCTCAACTCTCGCGGCCCGGTACCAAACGACTCAAGGACCGGTACCGGTCCGAGGCCCGGAAGTTGGGGACCGCTGCCATAGAAGACTTGGAAAAGGGGGCTGCAGAGAGGGATGTCTGGGCATTTCTGCTTGGATGGTTGACCTGGACTTGGATAAGCCAGAAAAAATCAATGGATGGAGGGATTAAATTAATTAATTAATTCATTCATTCATTTTGGGGGGGTTGGGTTGAGGCAATGATGCAACTTGCTGTCTGTGCAGATATGACTCCAGGCTTGTACTTCACTGCGCCTCCATACTGTGTGTTTTACAAACAACAGCTAAGATTTTCCAATCCAGCGAGAGTTTACATTTAATGTTTTAGAACTATCGGCTCAAACGTATTTATCTGTTTTTTATTTTTTAGCGAACTTCCACTGCACGCCGTCTGTGCTGATGGTGGACGAGTTGCTGTCTGCCTACCCCCACCAGCTGTCTTTCTCTGAGGCCGGCATGAGGATCATGATCACCAGTCATTTCTCCCCGAGAACCCGGCTCACCATGGCCTCTCGCATGCTGATCAATGAGGTACTTACACACTGAACTATTCTTGGATGTGTGGTTTCAGATGCTCCTCACATACTTAGGAGAAATATAAACTTGTCAACTAAAGTTAGCCTGAAAAATCCAGAGTCTTAGCATAAATACAAACCAAATAATTGGGTCTGGGTTTAGCAGAAGATGAAATAAGACGTGGAATGAATGCTAATTGTCTTTTGGATATCTCAGACACCTGTCTGCTGCAGACTCAAGTTTCAGCTTAAATCCAAAGGAAACAACCACAGTTGGAAAGAATATTTATTTCTACCTCAGAGAAATATTTTCCTGTTTTGTATTTTATGCATAATGACAACATCTCATTGGCGACAAAGATCCGCCTTTACCGAACCCTGATCCTGCCCATTCTACTTT